CTTCATGTTATATTTTTGAAGAATGTTGAAAGTTTCCCTCAGGTCGGCACAATGACTTGTGGCCTTCCAACTTTTCACTACCATATCGTCGATATAAACTTCTATAGTACTACCAATCATATGTGAAAATATTTTGGTTACTAACCTCTGATATGTTGCTCCAGCATTCTTCAACCCGAAGGGCATTACTCTGTAACAGTACGTTCTTTCCGGCGTTATGAAAGCTGTCTTTTCTTGATCCTCCTCGGCAAGGGGGATCTGATGATATCCCCTGTAGGCATCCAAGAAACTCATCTGCTCATGCCCAGTTGTTGCATCTACCAACTGATCTATCTTCAGCTGGGGCAAACTATCTTTTGGACATGCTTTATTGAGGTCGGTGAAGTCAACACAGACTCTCTACTTCTCATTTTTCTTTTTTACCATGACCGTGTTTGACAACTAGATTGAATATTTCACCTCCCTAATTGTTTGAGACTCTAGCAAGCGAGCCACTTCCTCTTTTACTACCTCCTGATGTTGTATCGCCGACCTCCTGAGCTGTTGCTTGACTGGCTTGAAGCTCGGGTCCAAGTTTAAGTGATGACATGCCACCTCTGGCGGTATGCTAAGCATATCGGTGGTACTCCATGCGAACACATCGGCATATTCTCTCAATAGTGTGACGAGCTCTGTCCCTTGTTCAGTACTAAGAGCCATTTCTAACAAAAAATATTTTTCCTGATCAACATCTTCATCTAGAGGTACTCTAGTCAAGTCTTCAATTGTTCGGTTTGTAGTCTCCCTTTCTTTGCCCAAAGGTACTTTAGGGCTGTTTTTGACAGCTTGGTCGGCATGGTCAACCGAGCTGTTTGATGTTGATCGCTATTTCATCTGTTCTGCCACAGAGCAGTTTCCTAGGTATTCTGCCTTGTCTTTAGATTTGACAAAGGCCAACAGACAAGATTTAGAACTGACCTTGTCTCCTCGGATATTTACTACTCCATCAGAGGATGGGAATCTTAGCATTTGATGGTACGTTGATGGTACCGTCTTCATCTCGTGCAACCAAGTGCGCCCCATAATTGCGTTGTATGCCGAGACTATATCCACTACCAAGAATTCGGTCATGATGCAAACTGGTCCTATCTTTACAGGTAGCGTGACCTTCCCTTTGGGAAGAACTATTTTTCTATTGAAGCCGATGAGTGGAGTATTTGAGGGCTTGAGATCCTCTTTCTTGAGGCCAAGCTTTTCGAACAGATCCATGTACATAATTTTTGAGGAACTCCCCAGATCAATCAGGACCCTTCTCACATCAAAATTCACAATTCAAAATGTGACGACCAAGGTGTTGTTATGTGGTTGGTGAACACTGAACAAATTCTGCTCGGTGAAACAGATCGCTTTGGTTGTATCCTCTATCTTGATTCGTTTGTTGGCGACCTCCGGGGTCATTCTTAACTCGTACACTTCTCTTTCTTTGGCTGCTTTCTGAATATAAGCCCGAGCAGAGTTGTTTGTAGACATTTGAGGGTTAGTGGCGGCATGGATCACATCAATTACCCTAGCTGGAGTGTTGGAGTTCCCTTTTGGCTCGATTCTCCCCCCTTTGGTTTTTTGCTCACTTTCAATGAACTCTGCGAGGTGTCCAGCCTAGACTAACTCCTCCAGGTGCTGCTTGAGAGATCGGCAATTCTCAGTCATATGACCTATATCCCTGTGATACGAGCACCTAAAATTTGGATTCCTTTTAAATAGATCATCTATTAGCTTGTTCGGCCATTTGAAGAACGGCTTGCCTTTGATCTGACTTAGAACCTTGTATATTGGTTCTTTGAATAATGTATTTACCCCCAGAAAATGGGACCTTTAGGGATATCCCTCCTTTTCAAACTTCCTTCCTCCCTCTCTATTCGGCTCAATTTGTTTATCCCTACTTAACTGTCTCCTGCTCGGATGTTCCTTAACCACTTCTCTGGATAATTCGTTATCCACCTTGGCATACTTTTCAATCCTTGCCATTAATTCTTCCAGGTCAGTAACAGATCTCCTTGTGAGTGATTGGTATAAAGGGTTTTCTTTCGACAAGCAGATCTTGAAGGATGCAACTGCAATCTCTGGATTACACTCTTCGACTTCATTCATGGTTTCCCAATATTGATGGGCATACTCTCACAAGCTTTCGTTACTCTTTTTTTTCAGCGTCAGTAGAGCCTCAACATCCTTTGGTCATTTATTACTCATGATGAATCGAGTTGTAAACTACTCAACTAACTGAGACCACCCATTAATCGTTCCTTTTGGTAAGCTGTCGAACCACTTCATGACGGACTCCCCCAAACTGCTAGGGAAGATAGTGCAGAGCAGTGGCTCATTTCTTTGGTGGATGGTCATCAATTGTCGGAAGTGCCTGATATGTGAGGCTGGGTCGGTCTTTTTGTTGTACAACTTGAAGTTCAGGACGACAAACTTGCTCAAGATTCGTGTTTTTTTGACCCATGCAGTGAATGGGGATGGCTCCAAACCATCCCCGTACTCTCTTGTTGCTCTTCTGGCCAGGTCCCTTGCTGACCTCTACTTTGGTCTCTTCAAGCGAATGTTGAGCTCTTCATTGATATACTGCTTCCACGTGCCCTTCTCCTGGATCCGAGGCTTCTGTTGATGGTAATCTTTCTCATCGGCAGGTTTAAATCTGCTAGGCTTCCTTCCCAGACTTTCATGCCGATCTTCTCTCGCCCGTTTTTCTCTTCTTGTCACCTCTTTCAACTTGGCTTTTAACTCTTCGTTTTCTTTGATCAGATCTTTCTCCCTAGCGTAGGACTTCTTGAACAGCTTGTCATGAGCATCAAGTCGATCCTGCAGGGACTAGACCAACTTCGCTAAGGAATGGTTCTCCCCCTCGGCACGGAGGGATTTACCAAGATCCTCACTTCACTGGTTCTAGTTTTTTGAAGGCTTGAAACTTGTAGAGGATACCTCGTCACCTTCATAGGTCCTGGAAGGGCTTCTGACTGCATGCAACTTTGGGTCGTTGTCAGAAGGAAGAGATGCAGAATCAGAGTTTCCTAGGGCAAAATTGCATACGGGTGATCTAATTGCACTTCTGAGCCTTGACATCGTAACTTTTTGTTCTAAAAGATGAAGATATTTCCCACAGACGGCGCCAAAATGTAGAGGCAGAAAATTGGTTATGCCTCTGTATGTGAATCTGTGAAACAATTTCTGGGAATGAAGTCTGAACAATCTCCTCAACTCCTTCCTACAAAACGAACAAATTGTCCAAGATCGAAGGCATTCGATCGAAGGCACTCCGATGCTTAAGTCAGTAATGGAACAGAAAGAATTGTAATAAGTCTAGGAGAGTTCAGTGTACTTTTCTTCTTGGCTCCTTTTGCTTTTTATAGGTGGTCAACCCCTTAGGGTTTCTGTGATTCTTGATTCAAGTTGGCACACCATCCTTAGATTCAGTCATTCAGTTTATGAAGTTACTGATATTTCTCTATTTTTTTCTCTTGATATCTTCAATTTCTTTAATTCGTTTATCTGATTGCCTAAATTATAGGCGAATTTTTATCCTTCTGTTTATCATTCGAAACAACTCGGTCATATCGAACTCCAAGTACACTTGACATTTGCTGAACAGATCAAGGGGCGTGGTTTGGTACAATCTGATCTCTTCAATTGTCTTGCCAAACATTTTAACGGACTTGACTTGGTACATGCCGAGCTCTTTCCTTGCTTAGCTAAACAGGTTGATGAGTTTGACCATCAAGAGAACCTAACTCTTTCTTCGTTTGTCAAATGAGTTGATCTGTTCGGCTCGGCAATCAAGACTGGGTGAATATCATTGTCACATGACGAGTCTTGTCAAGCTCACGTGAGCTTATTTAATGTTATAACATGTGTCATCATGAGGGCTAACCCCTTTAATTTTGTCTAATTATAATTATAATTATAATAATATCACAGCACTTAGTCTCATTTTTTGGTCAATCTGACGTCGCGCTTATGGTCTAATTATTGGAAATTTTTAACTCTATTAACCTGAGTTCCAACAAGAGCTTAAGTTTGTTAATGGAGCTTAAGTTGATTGACACCACCTCCAAATGCTTAATCAAAGTAACTCAATTAAACATAAAATTAATAGGATTTTTTGTATTTTATATCCCGAAAGATTTTAATTTTTATTTTGTATTTCTAAAGATTAAATTTTTTATACTATACCCGCAATGTATCAAAAGTATTAAAATTTGTTTATTCTGTTAACTTCTTTTATTTTTTTCCTGTCAAAAATCAACTCATTGACAGTAATGAAAAAATTAATGGAAAGCTAATAGAATAATCATATTTCAACACTTTTGATATATTGAGGATTTAATGAAAAAATTTTAATCTTTGAGGGTATAAAATAAAAACCTTAAAATCTGGGCATAAAGTGCAATTCACCCAAATTATTAAACGGTTGCTGTTGGCGCTATATTCTCTATCATACTCGTTTCCTATTTTGAGAGTTACTTTCCAAATTCGAGTTCTAGTGTTAATAGGCCCCTACTTCTTCCGCTTTCATTCCATCTCTCTCACACACACACTCCCCAAACTCTATTTGCTCTTCTGCGATCAGATTGCAGTGAAATTTACCTAAAAAAATTTATCAACAGGTTTCCTAATTGTGAATTACTTTCCAAATCCAAAATTAAGGGTTCTTAGGCCTCTTATATATAGCTCTTACAGTGCCTTACACCTCTTTTGTAGTTCTGCCACTCTTCTTTCATTAAAATCTTGTTCTTTCTTCAATACCCACTCTGTTCTCCTTCAACCCATCTCCCTTCTTTTTTTTTTATCGCAAACTTTTCCCAAACGTCATAGGAAGCTCTGTTATTCTCTGTTTCGTTTTGGGTTTCACTGAACACTCCTCTAATTTGATTCGTCTGTTGTTCTTTTGTGCTCATTATCAAGAAGGTGGTGGACACACATTGGCATTCAATCATTCGCATTATTCAATCTGCTCTGCGATCAAGATGACTAATGGCAAGATAACGAAGGCAAGCCTAATAAAGATTTTTGATGATCTTGGTTTTTTTCGGGAATTCGATTTCGAAACTCTCTACTCTTACGAGTACGAAAAGGAGAAGACTGAAAGGTTGGTTGATGATATTCTTGAGTGGGAATCAGAGAACTCTTATGATTTCGAAAAGGCGAAAACCGAGAAGCTGTATGATGATATACTCGACTTACTGCCCTCTGATCCTTTTGATATGAATTTAAGCCCTCCGATTATGGAAATCACTGATTGGAATGAGGATTTTGGGCTAAAAATTCTTGGCTTTGGTACTGATGAATTGGAAGTCAAGAAAGAAGATGATGAACTATTTGCAGAATCGAATTTTGATTCAAACAGCGCCATGAGTTCTTATCAGGAGTTTGATGACAAGAAAACAGATGAAAAATCAATTGGGTCTCTATTGATTGAAGAATTTTTGGAAGACAAATGTTGGGAATCATGGGTTGCTATTCAACAACTTCAAGATGGCAAAGCAATTCATGTCAATGGTGATGAACAGTTTCTTCTCAATTCAATGCATTCTAGTGATTTCGAAGAGGAAACTGAGGAGCTCTCTGTTAATATACTTGATTTACTGCCCTCTGATCCCTTTGGTATGAACGTAAGTGTTCCGGTAATTAGTGGTTGGAATGAGGATCTTGAAGAGGATTTTGGGTTAAAAATTCTTGGGTTTGGAACTGATGAATCCGAGGTCGAAGAAGAAGAAGAAGATGATCAAGTATTTACAGGGCTGAATTGGGATTCGAATCAAGCTATGAGTTCATATCAAGAGCTGGGTGACATGAACACAAATGGAAAATCAATTGGGTCTGCAATGGATTTAGAATTATTGGAAGACAAATACTGGGAATCATGGGTTGCTATGAAACAACTTCATCTTGACAACAATGATCAAATTTCTTATGATTTGGAAAAGGAGAAAACTGAAAAGTTGTGTGATGATATACTTGATTTACTGCCCTCTGATCCCTTTGGTATGAACATAAGTGTTCCAAAAATCACTGGTCGGAATGAGGATCTCGAGGATGATTTTGGGTTAAAACTTCTTGGATTTGGAACTGATGAATCAGATGTCAATGAAGAAGATAATGATTTAAATTCGGATTCGAATCAAACCATGAGTTCTTATCCAGAGCTTGGTGACATGAGAAAAGATGGAATGTTAACCAAGTATGCACATATTGAAGAATTTTATCAAGATAAATATGGGATATCTTTTTTTGCTGGTTGCAAGTAAACAAGATCAACGGTTCAAAACAATTAGTGTCGATGATAATCAATCAATGGGTTTTCTTCTGAATCAGTGATTGATGCTATTGCTAACGTTCTGGATTTGGACAGAGATGAAATTCTGAAATTTTTTTGGAGGGGCCAAGATTGAATATTATTAAGTTAGGTAAGATTTTCATGGGATTAATTAAAGTCTTGTGATTAGTTAGAAACAATGTTTTTTGTAAGCTTTTTTTTGTAAATTTTACATACCTAACTAAAATGAGTGGGTATTAATATGAGTTTATGGGTTAGTTTCATTACCAGTTTAATTGACAGATCCTCTGTTTCTTTTCTTTTTTTTTGGTTTTTAGTATTGTTTGTTTTGTCTGCTTTTGCTACTTTGTTTTGAAAGTCCTAACCTGTGGACTAGGAAAAGTCCATGGCTAAAAACTTATTAGTAGAGAAATTTTTGTCCTTTCATCGAGGAAGGCCAGAGAGGAGATACGAGGTTGTTTTGGGGGTTGATCATCATCGTTGTTTGTGACCAAATTTTTTTTAAGAGCTGTTCCGTTGTATGTTATATTATGAGACTACGAATACTTTGTTTAAGATCGACGTATCTATATCGACTATTCTATGAACCTATTAAATACCTATCGAATTCGATACTTATCAAATAAAATATTATTTGAATATTCAAGTGAAAAATAGAGTTGTTTGACTAATTTTTTCAAGTCAAATACAATACACCATATATAAAAAAAAAAATCATGACGTTGAGTAGATGCTATGATTTTTTGAGTATTATATTCTATCAAATAGTTAAAAAACATAAATGGGTTAACTACACCATACTTCTTCTAAGTAAATCAATTAGTGAAATGTTGGCTCTAGTTCCTCCATGTGATCATTCTCTAGTTCCTCCATGTGATCATTCGCATTTACTTTGTGTATATACCGTAATGAGATGATAAATACTTATTTAAAAGTCAAAATTGCTAATTTTTCGTATTGGAATTAAAGAATCTACCAATATTTATAATTACGAAGTTAGCAAAACATAATAAAAGTGTAAAATATATTATTTTATAGATGTGTCATGGACATGTCCATATCCTTTTTTTTTATGTATCTATATTTCATAGGATATATATACACACACATGAATGCGATTTCACATTAATTAATTATGGGCTTAGATGGGTATATATATAACCCAATTTTCAATGCTAAGTTTTACCCATAAATTCATATCAATGGATTTCAAAGCTTACCACCACATTGAGAATGAATTGGATGGGTCGCGACTCTGCAGGTGAGTGGAACCACTAAAAACTAAAGCTACCTAGATCAATGTTGAGTGTAAATGACTAGACTTTTTTTTTTTGGGTAAGTAAATGACTAGACTTTAATAAGCAAGTAATAGTAACATTGGAGAGGGGGCGAGGGTATATTGATTAGGATTGACTAGTTTTTTATGCAAGTTCAAAGTGACACAACCTACATCTACAATATTAAATTGGTTATGTTTGTGGCAAACACAAAAATCTCCATTTTCACACCACAAACACATTTGACTAAAGTAATATGAAGAAAATTCCATATAGTTTTCTTATTTTTGTAATTTCTTAATGTAGTTTTAGATGAATCATTGTAGAGCTTGATAAATGTTTAACTAGTTTTGCAATGTGTGTCTTATCCTTTTTTATTTTTCGTTTCCTTTTTGGTTAATTTTTATATGAATGCATTGTTAAAGGTCGCTTGACTTGTCATTCACATATTTTACCAAAACTGAAGAGATGTCAATATAATTTATTGTTAATAATGCGAACACCCATTTTTTTTTATGCGTTTTGTATTTTTTTTTCACTTAATAAACTTCATAGATAGCCCATAAACTATGGCATCTGAGTCATTCAAGTCCCTGACCTAATTTTTATATCAATTTAACCCCTCAACTAAGTAATCTATTTCAACATAATCATTCTGTTCAAATTCGTTGTTTACTTTAATGGAAAGCTTCACGTGAATATCACAGGATATACATTTGAGACTTTTCGTTAAAATTAATAATGAATTTGGATAGAAAGGCTACATTAAGTTAGATTACATATTTGAGAAGCTAAATTAATACAAAAAATAGTTCAAGGAGTTAATTGAAATAAATGACATAGTTTAGGGGTCATGTTTGTAGTTGACTTTTTTTTACTTTAATAGATCCCACGAAGAATTGAACCTTAAAAACCCATCCCAATGTACAGTGAATTCACTCAATGCTAGTGGCTTCACCCACATAAATTTTCTTTACTAGGGTGGAAACTGGAAAGTAACCTCCATGCGTTCTTATGTTTCAAAGGGTCAGTTTCATCATTCATGAAATTAGGTTTATGTTCACTTTATAACCTGTCTTAAAATTGTTTAAGGAGATAATTGATTTGGGCTATCAGTAAAACTATGATTCATATTCCCGGATTCCTCAATTGCTTTTATGGTCCCGGTCTCCTCTAGTATAATTTTTTTAACGATCGATCACCAACTATGCATGGTGGGAGACCCGGAAATTTCCACTTGAATTCATTACGGGTGATCTATAGTTTAAGAAAATTAAAGGAAAGTGTATGAAAGGGATTTAAATCTCAAGCTGCCTATGTTTGCATACTCTCCATTGGTTATTAGGAGTAATTCTACTTGGACCGTATTTGAATACCTAATTTATAGAACTAATTTCCAGCTATCGTTGAATTTACAGAGAGCTTCACTATACAATAGAGTCCATGATCAAACCAAAGATATCATTATATTCTGTCCCAAAATTAAGTCTTGGATTAAATTCAGTTGGTATTAATAGTGCATTGATGTTCTCATTCATCCATATTGACTCCAACCTTTGACTAACATTAGTCCGCAATAAAACCTATAATCAAATGTAGAAACCAAAGAGCTAAAAAGATGGAACAGTTTCAAAAAACATCATAGCCCCATGCCTATAAAAGGCCACACCTGCAATTCCCTCACAACTCAGTTGTACCTACACTTAGCATTCCAAACCAAAAATGGCTCGTGATAGCACCATATATTCAGTTGCACTGATTGCAGCAACCATGACATTGCTAATCACCCCAGGAATTGCACACGAAGCCCTTGGGGGCCTCCTCGGGGGCTTAGGGGGCGCCCTCGGTGGACTAGAGGGCCTCGGAGGACTAGGAAATGATCAGTGCCTATCATCTCTTATTGGTGTCAATGGGTGTATACAAGAAGTTATAATGTCTGCTCTGAGCTTTCAATTCGGATTGATCGGTCCGGCGTGTTGTCAGGCGGTGGTGGACATTGATGATAATTGTTGGCCTAAGGTGTTGCCTCTGAGTCCATTGCTACCACTTAAGAACTATTGCGTACGGCTAGTTCCAATATTGCCCGTACCATCACGAGCAAAATAATGTGGCTTACTCGTCGCAAAAATGGAAATAAGCTGGTGATCAGAGGCAGTACACCTATCTGTTTTTGGAATTTAGCAGGAAATCCAAGATAGTGAGAAAAATATTTTAGTGAAAATGTGGAAAAAAAAAACACTGGTTATTTGATTGTTACGAGATGAAGTTCTGTTCTTAGGACAGTACAACTATCATCTTTGCTTTTGACAGATAAATGAATAAGAGACTGGTTTTTGGGCTCTCTCTCTCTCTCTCTCTTAGACATGCACATACAAAGTTAGCTTTCCAAATTCCTGAGATTGTGGATCTTTTTTCATCATATACGATAGTTTCTAACTTATTGCTCAATTTACCTTTGTTTTTATGAAAGCATAATTTAAACTCATGCTTTTTAGTGTAATAGTGCATTTTGCAAATACATTTTCAATAGAAAACCTATGAAGTGTATTTTGCAAAAACGTTTTTACATTGAAAAGCAAAGTTTAACTCACACTTTCATGAAAACAACAATAGATTAAAAATAATTCAAGAGATTCAATTACGTGAAATAATACACTCTATATATACGGACGGTTGGTTTTTCATGCATCATGATGGAAGAGATAGAAATATAGCCACTTCAACCTTTTAATTTACTCTTGCAACCACGCCATCCTTTATGCATAGCCAGCGGAACAAGAAGCAGCTTCAGAAGTTTCAGTAATCCACATTTCTACAGGTTATAGGCCACGAATTTCTAGAGTTACATAGACCTAATCCACAGAAATATGTTTTTTTTGGGCAATTCCATAAAATTATGTTTATAATGTACAGTATCATGCGACGGAAACAACTTTTCTGCTCACGGGAATAAGTCTACATACATTTGAAGCTTTCACATGTCTCATAGTGACCGGAACCTCGTACACTTTCAGCATTCAAGATTTTTTTTTCTTTTTCTTTTTTCTTGTTTGGAGCATTTCTGCATCAACAAAACATTGGCAAGAACTGTTTATTTTATACAATTTCTCAATCTACAGTATACTTCACAGGAAGTCCTGGATTGCAGATTGCAATCACCATCATGACAGTTGGTTTAGAGAAGTAAGTGTTTAAAAGAAGAAAACAACCAAAAACTTTGTCCTCTTTCTTCGTATCTGTTATAAATTAACAATAATTTCAAGGGCCTGTTCACAAAATGTTGGTGAGATAGTCGAAGCATCAGTTCTTGATGATTTAGAAGTAATGTTACAATGTGTTTATCTACAAAAATAGTTCGATAAGAACTATTGAAAATGTAAAACAGTGAAGTTTTCGTGGCGACCAGATCAAGTATGAAAAAATGTGAAATATTTTTCCTTAATCGTGTATTACAATTGATCTGTGAAGATGCTATAAACCTGTACCTACCTATACAGACAAGTACAAAATTTGGGATTGGCAGATGAGTTACCTTCTGCTCAAATTTGGAAGAGATCAAGTACATAATCATAATGTACAATGTGAAGTCTTCTTCAGCATTAATGCTTCATTGGTCCAAGCTCAGAGATGACATCAATCCCCTTTTGAAAAGGTTTGGGGTTTACTGCTTGCGAACACCAACCATATAATGGTACCGGTAAGGTAGAAGAAGATTGATGGTGCAAATAATGATATCTACATAACATACGAAATAGGAAAAACAACTGAGTAATATTACGAGTGTCCAACAAATAAGTGGAGTTAAGAGGCGCGATATAAGTCCAAACTTACACTCCATGAATGAGTTGAATCAAGAAGATAACCAGTTAGAGCAACGCCTACGATTCCAGGTACTGCCCCAACAGTGTTGGTAATGCCCTGAGTGAATAAATTTATAGGAAAACATCATTTCATATATCTGATGTTGAATTTAGATCATGTTAAATCTGAGTCAAGCAAAAAACAAAAGGCATTGGCCAAACTTCCTCGCAGAGACTGACAAAAACAAAAAGTAGACTTCTAACAATAATACAGCAATAGAGGTGGTGTCCAGCAGTTAAGTCTCAATTGTGTCCATCTGTACCTGTTATGAAGACTAATTTATTCTCAAATTTCCTTGTTAATGGTAGCAAGGATTTGACAGAAAGACTCCAATGACTAAATTATGAAAGGATTTTTTTCAGAAAAAAACCTAATGAACTTGGATGAGACACCAGTTTCACTGTGTGCATTATGGTCACAATATTTTAGAGCAGGACCATACAATCCTTGAATTACGAGTATCGTAAATTGTGCAAAAGATGATGACACCACTAAAGTACTTTCGAGAAATGTCTTATGAGAAGATGGCCAACTGATATATGAGAGGATTGAGTTCAACACTTCAGTGATGCAGAGCAAAATTTCTGTGCCCTTTTGCACCAAAAATGGAGCAGCAGGGAGAGAGAGAGAGAAGACTTCCTTCCATGACAGCTAGAATTTTAAAGTGCATTCTACGGTTTCAAGTCAGTATCATATAGAATCATTAAGTTGTTCAATGGGAGTAGCCAAGGTGATGTAAGGACAACTTTGTAAAATAAAAATAGGGACTGTTTAGGGGCTGTGAACAGTAACCGTGAACAGTAATGGACTGTGAACAGTAGCGTGAACAATAATTTTGGCTAGGAATCACTCCTAGGGTTCTGTAGGCATAACACCTAGGATTAGAATTGCATCACACAACTCAAGAAACATGTAATTGTTGAAAATTCTGAACATATCTCTCTATCTATTATTAAAAGTAACACAAACTATATATAGAGTTCAAAGTCTATAGAACTTCAAAGACACTAGATCCTTACAAATTAGAAAACTAAAATTAACTAAAACTAGAACTTTAAATTCTAGAATATTCAATACTAAAATTTGACCAATAAAATATCACCTATTCCAGAAATTCTAGAAATTACAAAAATACCCCCGACATTAAAAAATATTAAAAGGACATATAAAATATTAATACTGGCAAATTAACTTAAAATAAGAATGCAAGGTTCCATATGGATCTTTGTCTTGATGGAAAGTCAATTTCATTATCTTTCACATCTTCGAATTTATGTTTCCTTGAGCATCTTATGGATTGCATCATTCTCCCCTGGTTGGAGAATACTCGACCTCGAGTTTTAAAGTGTTGCAGTATGAAAGTCCAAAAACGTTGAACTTGTATATGTAGCTGTCTCTGAGAAGCGTTAAGATGATGTTTCCTTTTCTTCTCTAATTGAGAGAACAAAAAACAAATTTGAAAATTGATCCCCTTGATTGTGTCGTTGAAATTTTCTGGAATGATAAAATCAATTGGTGAAGCAAAGTGGATAGAAAGAAGCATTGGTGACTCTTCGTGTAGATCCTTGAAAGATGTAAACAAATTAAGCTCTTGGAACATCATTGTTGTTGGTTGAAAGTCATTAATGGGAACAATTTCCCCGGACAACACTTTTAGCACTATTTCAGAGCTCTTAGGTAGTAACGTACTCATATCTAAAGGCTCATTTGATTCAATACTAGTTGCTGGATTTTTCATCTTGTCAGGTTCCACAACAAAAAAATTGTCAGGATATTCACTTTTTACCTTAGCCTCTGGACAAGTAAGTAGCGTAGTTGCTTGGGATTGTGTTGATTCTTCTACTTGATTTCCTTCATCTTGAATTATTTGATCAGTTGTTGTTTTGGACTGCTTTTGATGAATCTTCTCTAGTTGCACATTAGAATCTAAATAACATTGAATTTTACCCTTTTGCGAAGAAGAAACCCTTGATATACTTACTTGGTGAAGAAAATTTAGGTACATCTCCGTACCAAGTGCCACTTGGAATGCATGCTCTACGTTGTATAGTGGCTGCCCAAGTATTTCTGCCTTTATATTTGCTCTTAAACTAGCCTTGAATCGAGCAATTGTTTGGCAAGGTTCTTCTATGATATGGTTTTTCAACATTAGGCCTTCAAATCTTTGAATATACTCTGTAACAGATAGGTTACCTTGTTGTAGATTAATACGTTGTTTGCACAACTTGCTACTATAGTTTGAGGGCATATACCTCTGTTGAAGCTTAGCTTTCATCTTTTGCCAAGTGTTTATAGGAGGTTGTCCCAATCTTCTTATATTTCCTTCAACACCAAACCACCAAATTTATGCCAAGCCTGTAAGTTTCATCTTGGCAAACCTTACTCTCCTCTCATCTGCGAAATTATACTTAACAAAATAGTTCTCCATAGAAACAAGCCAACTAGAGAATATTGTAGAATCATCCCTTCTATCAAAATCTTGAATTTCCGTCATCATATATCAATATTTAAGCCGCATAATATAGGATTTTTTGGCTCTGATACCAAACTGATGTAAGACAACTTTGTAAAATAAAAATAGGGACTGTTTAGGGGCTGTGAGCAGTACCCGTGAGTAATGGGGCTGTGAACAGTAGTGTGAACAATAATTTTGGCTAGAAATCACTCCTAGGGTTCCGTAGGCATCACACCTAGGATTAGAATTGCATCACACAACTCGAGAAACATGTAATTGCTGAAAATTCTGAATATCTCTCTCTATCTATTATTAAAAGTAACACAAACTATATATAGAGTTCAAAGTCTCTAGAACTTCAAAGACACTAAATCCCTACAAATTAGAAAACTAAAATTAACTAAAATTAGGACTTTAAATTCTAGAATATTCAATACTAAAATTTGACCAATAAAATATCACCTATTCCAGAAATTCTAGAAATTACAAAAATACCTCCGACACTAAAAAATATTAAAATGACATATAAAATATTAATACTAGCAAATTAACTTAAAATAAGAATGCAAGGATCCATATGGATTTTTGTCTTGAAGGAAAGTCAATTCCATTATCTTTCACATCTTCGAATTTGTGTTTCCTTGAGTATCTTATGGATTGCATCACTAGGTTTAGAAGCATGAAATTGTTAGGAATGCATTTAAAATTCACAATTAAAAATCGAAGGATCATTATAAACTATTTGAAATTTGTTCACTTACATACCAGAAGTATGCTTGCATATTCAGGGGAGATATCTTGATGGGTAATTCACAATTAAAAATCGAAGCATCATTATAAACTATTTGAAATTTGTTCACTTCCATACCAGAAGTATGCTTGCATATTCAGGGGAGATATCTTGATGGGTACAATATAGTCCTGCAGCCAAAAAAAATTAATAGATAAAGCTTTCCGACATAAACAAATCAACTGCATAGCTTATCAGGTTCCATGTTTGATCTAAGCACCAAATTTCATTTGTTTTTAGTACCTGACAAGGCAAAACTTGATAGTGCTAAACCACCAGTGAGAATCGCCACAATTTCCCATGGAGGCAATCCAAAATCCAAAGAGGACAGAATCATGCAAGTTGCAGGAGACAAAAAGGCAATTGTTTGGCAAATCTTGCGCACCTACATGCAGTACAATGAAGAACTAATTTTGAGAATCTAAAAAAATAAATATGCTCAACTGCTAAAACTAATGATAGTCGTTAGTTTTTAAAGTAGAAAAACAAATGACAACATAAGAAGTATCCTGATACCAGGGAGAAGTAAGAGGATGATGGATCTCCTAGAGTACATTGATTTAGGACTATGGAAACAGACTAAAGCATGGTCGTCTTTATTTTTCTTGCACAGTTGCACATATTATTTCCTAATAATTTATTGCAGGTATTCATTCAGGGACTTTCAGGTTCATCCTTCAAATGCTTTAGATTATGAAGTGATCTAGAGATAATCACTTTTCAATGATTTGACTTGTTCAAATTTCCCATTGATCATATAAACATAAGTGGACGATACGAAAATACGTTCGGCGAAAATGAAATGTTATCCAACTTAGTTATACATATAAAAATGTATGTTTTTTATATAGATTTTATGAAAGTTTTTCACAAAAACTTGGTGCACCTGCAGTTTAATATAATTATAAAACTCAGTCATTTGATTTACTGATCAAATGTCATCAATTAGAAGATTTTGTAGCTTTTCATTAGCTTTCTATCTGTGGCATAAACATAATGCTGCTAATTTCATAAGATACATCAGTTAGCAGAGAATTTTAGCTGTCTCATCAAAGAATCAAATTAGAAGCTGAGGGTTCTGTGGTGTAAGAATCAACTTCCAGTAAAACAAAATTTTTAAGTTAGATTTTTTGGCACTTGAAAGGTAACATCAATAAGGACATTTATATATACATAGATATATGTGTAATATAAAGACACATACATAAATATATCTACATCTCTAATCCACATACCACAGTAGTTTCAACTCCACTGGCAATTAAGTTGTCCGCAAATTGTGCAGCAATGCTGGTCACAAAAATTGAAGCCAAAGGAGGAAGAACAGAAACCTGGAATAAAGTACATATAATGGATATTAAAATTAATTGCACCATGCTCACTATCAATTAAACAATCAACCCTTTATATCCATAGAGGTTTTTCAGATATTTTGAGGCACTTCACACATCAAAATACCTTCCATATATCATGTTGCCGTTTCTTTTTAAATTAATGATACAACATTTGCAATCCTATATATTTCTATATACATCATCAGCCTTAAGCATAAACTATAAAGTAAGAGTAGGAAATAACTAAATGATAAACATGCTGTGGCCACTATACCATAAAGATGAGGATGGTAATACAAAAATGAACCAGATACAAGACAAGTACGACATGAAACTGACAAAATTCAAAGGAATACTTCTTAAGTTTATGCCATCTATTGCAGCCGGATGATATCAGTGTGCACAACTCTTGATGATACCGCAGGCATAGGTTTGTTTTTTCCCATTTCTTCTGTGTCAACAATGTCTACTCCAACACCAATGAAAATGTCATTATTCAACTTATGCTGACCGGGACAACCAAATGAAAAGTTATGCTTCCAGGTACTGAAACTGATAGTTAAACTCTTAAAACTTACAGGACATTATAAGAATCCTCCAAAAATAAGGACCTATAACATTATTTTAGTTCAAAAGATCAACAAATTTTTATTTACCACAATTTTCATTTATGTTTTACTGACTCCTACAATCAGTAAATAAAACAGCTCTTACACCTTTGCTTCCCAATTGCTTGCAACTACTACCATAAAAAGACTCAACCCCGCCTCTTTGGGATTGGACTGGCCTAGCTTCCCTATTCCCTTTTTGTCTAGTCCAGCTTAAAATGAGCCCCCAAATCCATTACTGTAAAATAATAGATGTTTTGAAGGGAATCTATAATATAAAACATGGCAAGCTTCAATAAGCCCATTCAACGGTCTCAAATAGACTCATCCAACGGCCATCAACATCTGTCAGTCTCAAAACCATTCACATTACATCGTGCCTTCAGACACGGGTTACCTTTAGTAACATATAAAATGGATCTTCACATTAGTAGGTACAGTTTTTATTTGATGCAGAAAATTTTAGGATCCTGAAATTTTGATTAATGCTTCTGGAATTGAAGCTGCTTTGATGAAAGAGTAGTTTTGTTTGCGACAACACCTCAAGAAGATTAGCAATGATTGTCCTATGTCCTTGATGTCATTCTACACCACAATGCTTCAGGTTTTCAATTACAATTAATACTGTTGTAACATTCTTTACACAAAGTAAATGGTTTTGGATAAGAATCTAAGGTTAGGGCAAAAGACTAAAAGAACAGAACTTCACCATCTTCGTGTCCACACAAAGAAGTTTTAGAGCAAGACAGTATTACCATTAGCCATGGAAAGGCTGGGCCAAGCCCTGGCCCAGGGTCTCTTGGCTCAGGGCTTTGCCCATAAGCCACTGTTTTTTCAATATTGAATGTTATGTCTTAAATCCTATTTCTGGTTTTCATACTTAGATATTGAACAAATAAAAATTATTGTGTTTTATATCTAAAAGGAAATGCCTGCGCCAGCCTGCAGACCATTGCAAACCCTGTCGGAGGACAACACCGGTCCAATTTTCTAAGCCCAAAACCCTTCGCACGGGCCATGTGAAAGGTCGGGCCAGTGCAAGGCCAAGCCCTAGGCCAAGGTCTCCTAGCTAGGGGCTTTGCCCATGAACCATTATTTGTTCAATATTTAATGCTATGTTTTAAATAACATTTTTAATTTTCATACTTAGATATTGATCCAATAAAATTAACATGTTTTACATCTAAAAGGGAGTATGTGAGCCGGCCCACGGCCCATTGCATCGGCCCGGCCCTGTCTGAGCTCAATGCCAGGCTTATTTTCTAAGCCCCAAACCCTTCCCATGGGCCAAAAAACTAGATCAGCTACTAATTTTCCATTCAAATTAAATATGCAGACATGATAAAAAGTGATGCCTCTTAAGATCAGATACTAAGACAAATAGACAATAAGTAAAAAAAACAAAAAAAAAAACAAAAAAGATATGGACTCTAGGATATTGACCACCAATGGCATTACAAGATTTTAAACTTTCAGAGTTCTTAGGTAATCAACAAAATGCATTAAACTTTCCAAGTCAGCCTACAAATCAACTATCAAGGTACACATTTTCTCAGTTCTTGAGCTTCAGAGTATTCACTCAACCTAGGACATTTAGAACGGGCCAAATAGTTGGACCAACATAGATATTATAGACTTACCCCTGCAGCTTCTGTCAGATTCAGGTTCAGCTCCTCACTGCAGGGGATGTAAGTAGGAACTTCAGTTCTCAGAAATTGATTAACAGAAATCTATAGACAAAAATGTAAATCCAATTGATGCATGATGTTACAAAGTGAAACTAAATGAAAGAAATCAAAGATGTATGTCTCTGTGTACATGCATTGCAACTGAATCTTTTTGTAATTATTGTTTGACTTAACGTCTAAGCTGATATCCAAGATTTGTGCAAACTGATGGACACGAATTATTGGGTTCAAAAGAGAATAACCTTGTATAAAGAAAACAGGTACAACAATAAATATTGTCTACTATCTGCCCCCTTACCATTAATGCCATGAGCAGCCAAAGGACAACAGCATTGCTGTAGAGATGTATCAGAAAAGATTTACTTGTTTTATTGCTTGAATAAGTTTGATGATACTATCAGCAGGACTAAATGAGACTATGATGTCTCAAAAGGAAAGATTCTAAATGAATTTGCCATGCTGTTCAAATCTAGAGAGAATACTCAAACCCAGATCTCTATGGTTCAAGCTAGAGGACTTTCTTCATTTTCTCCTGTCCTAAGCAGCTAGGAAGATTACAAAGGTACATGTTCATTGTGTTTCTAGTGATTTACAATTTTAATGCTGACAGTGTCCAACAACTTGATCCACCCTATTTCCAACTAAAAGCTCTATTGGAATAGGTAAGGGATCAATTATGTCTTTGAAGCAAAGGCAACATCTTGTACATGTAGAATTTGTCTACTGAGCATTGAAGCTCATGCTGGTCAATATTGTAGAGCCTGAAGCAATATAACTGCTTACTGAGTAGTTCTTATCCGGATCATTTATATTTTTCTCTTCACTTTCACTAGTATTTTCAATAGGCCCAATACTGTTCATTGATTTACTTATAGCCCACACCTGTGTTCTAACCCCTTCCTAAACAACATCGAATTGAACCGGCATCTTTCCATAGAGTTTTGTAGCCCCTAAGTCATTCAATGAAAAATTATAGCTCATGCTGTAGATATTGTAGTGCCATAAGTAGTATACTGGTTTTCTTTATGCTTGCTTATTATTAATGCACCCCAAATAGTTGATGCTTTATGAAAAAAATAAATAAATAAATAAAGCCAATTCAACTAAGAAATAACCCATTCAGAGACTAGACATTAACGAGTTAAGGGTTACAAAGATACCTGAAATAAGTAGGGAGCCAAGACAAACAATTGAAGTGACCCCAACTACCACAAAAATGAACATATATCATTGCCCATACAGCTTTACTTTGGAAAAATGCCTTCCATGGCACATCCTATAATTTAAAAAAAAAACAGTTAGAAAATCAGGTCCGCTTTTCTAAAGGACTAATTTAATGCCGACTGAAAGGAAAGAAAAAAAGAAAAATTTGTCCATGCCTTCAGTGACCCACCCAACTCTTCCAAAGAAGTATGCAATGATCTTTTCCTAGAAATAGACTGAGACCCTGTAAAATATGGATACTTGTATTTAGAACTGTGGAGAAGGTGTCTGATTTTTTATAGTTACTAGCAATGCACCATGTTGCACATGAATAATTTTCGTACACAAAAACTAATAAAAAATGTTTGACATATTTGTATCTGAATTAAACATTATATTAAATTTATCAAACTTATTTTTCATCGCTTATACTTTATTATATAATAATGAAAATTTTGTATGTTCCCAAGATTTGTTGTTTCAATTATAAGAAAAAAGATTAAAAAATAGGTAGAGTTCTATTTTTTTAGAATTTTTGTAATAGAGTGATTTCTAGTGATGTTTGAAAATTAAAATTTTTTGAAATTCATTTGATTAGGATTTCACTTATAATTTATTGAATAAAACAAAAAAAATTGTCAATTACTAATCATATTTGAAACTTTACTGTAATTAGAAATTAGTCATGTATGGATAAAATTTAATATACTACTTAGTATATATTATAAAGCATATTAAAATATATTACAATCTATTTTCACAAAAAATCTTAATACAACTTGAAAAATTTACTATAACTGAAGAATTATGCTGATTAACATAAATTAATTTTAAAAAGTTATGTATATGATTATTTTTTATCCTAAGAATTAAATGGTTACACTTTTCGATGAAAATTGAATATATAGGCACAATATTATCTTTGTATATGAAATGAGTAATGTTAGATTAATGAAGTTTTTGAACATTTTATTAAAAATTTTAATGGTACATATATTTTTAAGGGTAATATAGTCAATCAAAATTTTTTATAGAAATTAATATTTATATATGGAGGATATGTTAGAGGTACTTTTGAGATTTAAATACTTAAAGGTATGATGGTAATTTAGATATTTAATTACGCAAAGATAGAGTAACCTTTGCAATTTATTAAAAGGGTAAAATATTGAATCAAAAGTTTTCAAGTTAAGGTACTTTTATTAGTAGTAAGTACAGATCAATATCTATGACTTATACTTCTGGAGAAAACATTAACTATGCCCTGATCCATTTGGTATGGGTAGCTCTAAAGATGCTTTTGCAGTCCTACATCCAGATTATGTTCAAGGAATAGCTCATATGAGTGTTAGCTCAAATGTTGGATTAAAAATAGAGTTATCCCCACAAAATATTGATGATATCAGTGGATGTATCAGCAAAACAAAGACAGAAGGAAAATCGACATAAACATCCTTAACTCTAAAATATGGCTGTTATATAAGGATGGGAGACTAACTCTTAATCATGTCTAATTGACGTCGCCATTATGCCCTCCAATCTGTTATCCACTTTCTTTAAGCTAACCACAGAACTTCTCTTGGGCAGTTAAAGGTGAGGAGTCCAGCATCATGTGATGAGATGGTACGTGTGCCATGGGAGAGGAGGTTGAACCCTAAATTTGACAACTAAAAAGCATTTCACAACTGATACGTGACTTTTCAGCCTTGAGGCAAGAGCAAAATATGAGACACGATAGAGCAAAAGCCAATAAGGGACTACTACACTCAACAGGTATTCCATAACATCAATTATCGACCATAATAAAACTAAATAACTGGCTTAGATCTCAAATGAACTTCTAATAATTGGTCAATTGGTTACATATGGAAAAACAAAAGAATCTCAAGTTTTAAAGAAAATGAAAGCAAGGGTGAAAATACTTTCCGAAGGAATAAGGTGAGAAAAGGAATATGTTCTTACATGATATTGGTGGGGCATCCATCAAAGGCTGTTTTTCTTTAACAAACTGAAATCCCGAAAACCTTCAACAATTTTGGATGATGTCATCAGTAAAGTCACGCTGACAAAATGCTGTTATGAAAATGCTAAATTCTTTTGGTTAGGAAAAATATTATTCACAACTATAATCTTAACAGCTTTTAGGATAACTCATTAATACAACCAATAGGAGGTGCGAAAACCAACAAGTTCAAAAAGAGCTTCTGTAAAAATAAGAAATAAAATAAAAGCCTAAAAAGTGAAAAAGATTGTCACTTATTGCAAGTTAAGCCTTTCATCCAAAAAGAAGAAAACAAAAGCAACTGTTCCAATTATAGCCACTTACCAAGCTATCCCCAGAGAGCCAAATATGTAGAAAACAGATCCCCAACCAAAATTTTGGATCAGGGGAGGAGCCAAAAGAAGCCTGCAACAAGTTCAACAAATTAGGATTGACTAATAAACAAATTCTGATAAGCACAAATATATTTGTCCACTACACTAGATGGACTCCACAAATAAAGTCGTAAATGTGTTTCTTGTCTAAAGTAAAGTATTAGTGAGGATATTATGCTACAAGGCAATATCCACAATCCAACAGGAGTAACATAGGAGACAATTCACATGAAGGTTTCTATTTTATGGCGTTTCTCACTTCTCTTATCTGCACCACCTAAATTAATAGCACCATTGTGAGTGCTGAAGTTGGAGGGCAAAAGCCCATTATGATGCATTGTAACAGTGAATAAATATTAATCACATAGTCCAATCAATGACAAGGATTTTACAGGACATAACAGATAGCACAGAGAAAATGGGACAATTGACAGCGCTTTGTTATTTGTGGTGAATTATGTACACTCGGGTTGGATGTCCTTCATCTACTAGAAAGAACCATCCCATCCAATACGGTTGGGAATAAAAACATAGGTGGCTGCTTTCTGCTCCAGAGAAATTTGGAGTCTGGGCTTCTTCTCAAGATTTCTTGCTTAGTTCATAAATGTAATGAAATTAATTTCCAGGTGCACTGTTATGGTGCAAGACTTATGTATGCAAGATGCTTTGCATGTCATTTTCATAAGTGTTACGCAATTCTGTAAATGTTTTCCAAGGGGCAGAAATAGGCTCAAATTTGATATGATGCCAAAGTCATGTTCCTTGGTGCGAGTATTACCATATTACTAATAAAGATTCTTGATCGGTATTTATAGTTGAACCTGACTCAAAGTGAGGAGGAAGCAAAAGATTTCAAGCATATCATAAAGAATGAATAAATTGGCCATTTAGCTATTGAAAAAGTACTCCAAGAAAGATGAAGGATACGTACAGATTTAAACTTAGAAGAAGAAAGACTAAAGCATTTTATAAGGGCAAAGCTAAAAGCATCAATTTTTCCTCATTAGAGCGGGAGCACATCTATCCAAAAATCCAACACCGACTCCGGCCTCCGCCAGAGTCGGAGTTGGAGTAAAATGATAGACTCCGATCAAAGTCGGAGTCGGAAATGTATTCCGAAAAAACTCCAACTCTACCTCCGACTTTTATAAATAATAAATGATATTATATTATTATTACATATAAATATAAAATATTAAAACATAAAAATATAAAAAAGAAAACCCCTAACCCTAAATTCTTCATCGCTTCTACTACGCCTCCACCCAAATCTGCTCTATAGTCTCTCTCTCTCTCTCTCTCTCTCTCTCTCTCTCTCTCNGGACTCCACAAATAAAGTCGTAAATGTGTTTCTTGTCTAAAGTAAAGTATTAGTGAGGATATTATGCTACAAGGCAATATCCACAATCCAACAGGAGTAACATAGGAGACAATTCACATGAAGGTTTCTATTTTATGGCGTTTCTCACTTCTCTTATCTGCACCACCTAAATTAATAGCACCATTGTGAGTGCTGAAGTTGGAGGGCAAAAGCCCATTATGATGCATTGTAACAGTGAATAAATATTAATCACATAGTCCAATCAATGACAAGGATTTTACAGGACATAACAGATAGCACAGAGAAAATGGGACAATTGACAGCGCTTTGTTATTTGTGGTGAATTATGTACACTCGGGTTGGATGTCCTTCATCTACTAGAAAGAACCATCCCATCCAATACGGTTGGGAATAAAAACATAGGTGGCTGCTTTCTGCTCCAGAGAAATTTGGAGTCTGGGCTTCTTCTCAAGATTTCTTGCTTAGTTCATAAATGTAATGAAATTAATTTCCAGGTGCACTGTTATGGTGCAAGACTTATGTATGCAAGATGCTTTGCATGTCATTTTCATAAGTGTTACGCAATTCTGTAAATGTTTTCCAAGGGGCAGAAATAGGCTCAAATTTGATATGATGCCAAAGTCATGTTCCTTGGTGCGAGTATTACCATATTACTAATAAAGATTCTTGATCGGTATTTATAGTTGAACCTGACTCAAAGTGAGGAGGAAGCAAAAGATTTCAAGCATATCATAAAGAATGAATAAATTGGCCATTTAGCTATTGAAAAAGTACTCCAAGAAAGATGAAGGATACGTACAGATTTAAACTTAGAAGAAGAAAGACTAAAGCATTTTATAAGGGCAAAGCTAAAAGCATCAATTTTTCCTCATTAGAGCGGGAGCACATCTATCCAAAAATCCAACACCGACTCCGGCCTCCGCCAGAGTCGGAGTTGGAGTAAAATGATAGACTCCGATCAAAGTCGGAGTCGGAAATGTATTCCGAAAAAACTCCAACTCTACCTCCGACTTTTATAAATAATAAATGATATTATATTATTATTACATATAAATATAAAATATTAAAACATAAAAATATAAAAAAGAAAACCCCTAACCCTAAATTCTTCATCGCTTCTACTACGCCTCCACCCAAATCTGCTCTATAGTCTCTCTCTCTCTCTCTCTCTCTCTCTCTCTCTCTCTCGCTCTCTCTCTCAGCCACAACCAAATCATCCCTAAATCACGACTTCGCAGCAAAAGCCTTGGTGAATGGTGAGGTAGCTTCCAGCAGTGACTTCATAGCGAGTAGCTTCCAGCAGCGAAAGCCTTGGTGACTCGAAATTCTCTCCGTCCAGCAGCGAGTAGCTTCCATCTCTCTCAGTGTAGCTTCAATCTGTTTCCACGACTATGAGTTGAGGTTCTTCTTTATTTTTTCTTTGTGAGGCTTTGATTTGGTATTATTTCTTTGTGTTTGTGAGGCTTCGATTCTGTGTAAAATCCTTTAATTTGCCAAATTTGCAAAAGGTTCCAATAGGCTTTGATTTCTATTTTTTCCCTTCTGCATCAATTCTAGGTTTTGGTTCCATCAGGCTTTGATTTCTATTTTTTTTTCATCTGCATTCCTTCAACTCCAAAAACTCCTGTCCGACTCCGCCGATCGAAAGTAGAGCAGAGTTGGAGGCACTGTATGTCGGAGGCGGAGGCGGAGGGCAAAAGACACACTACACTGACTAAAGTTGGAGTCGGAGATCGGAAACATCACTTCCAACTCCGTCCGAGTCGGAGCCCACCCCTAGTGAGCACGCGAGAGTGTGTGTGTGAGAGAGAGAAGAAAACAGCATCCTTTCTTTCAAATTATAGCACTTTGACCAAGCAATGCAAAGGGAAAGTCCTTGTACTTAATATCTCACTGAAATCCTTATTCAGCTTAACCTAAGGGCTTAGGGTCAACCATTATGATAGAGATTAATTGGTTTAAGAAGAAAAACTTAATTACAATAACAAAGTAAGATCTAATTAGGAACCATTTTAATACTATGATCAATACTACATACCCCATGACACTTCCAATGCTCAAACCACCAAAAACAAATGATACTGCTCGTGAGCGCTCTTCTAATGGTATTGACCTGTATAAAGGATTGAACACCACAATAGATGTAAACATGACATAATTAAATAAACAATATTACAGTACATATAGCAAAATAAGAAACAAACCTGCAGGATGGCTTTTCAGCACAGTGCCAAGAAGAAAATATCACTAGCAATGTTACCAATGGTAAAGCAGTATATAAAATACCAAATCGTCTAAAAGGAAACTGAAACCACACCATAGCTTTTTTTATCCATCTCCAACAATGATTCAGATATAATGGTACTCTAAACATGAATGAGTTTCCCTAGGGACTATCTTGACATCCCACCATTATCCTGGTACTAAACTACGCTGCCGAATATCACAAGGTTTGTTCGGTTTGGAATCTCAATAACGATCTATGAACAAGGGCCTCAGTCCACAAGATTACACTGCCCCAAACATCATTCTCCTTCATGCTAAAACTAAGGAACCATATCAAAATAAGCTAAACTAGCTCAACTTCCCCATACATACCCTACCCAAGGAACTTTTGAATCCTCTCAATTTTCTCAATTACAGTGTTAAGGTCTTTGAAGAGGGACATTAAATAAATGTGTATTTTACTAAAGAAAAGTTACAGATGTTGCATGCGCCACTCAGATCCTATAACTATGGTTTCCCACTAACCTTTGCAATCAATCATCCTACTTGCTGATAATTCCTGCTTCTCAGTACAGTCAGCTCTAATGAGAAGACTCTAAAACGTAATTGGAGTCATTCGCCAAACCCCTACGCAATAAACCTATGAACAACTCCTCATCAGAAGACAGCAGAACAGTGTAGTTGACAGATCGAATAGAGAGTAACTTGACCTTACATCTGCAAACCAATATGCTTATCGAGAGAGGGGCCAAAGGACCTCTGTCCTAAACCTCTTGAAGGCCAAAATCTTTCAGCTCCATCATTACCTAACAAACAAAAATAATCACAGCAGGACACCACATCCATTTTTTCCACGAAGACCTGGAGCCTTTCCTAACCCAAGATAGGTACCCAATCCATATCATGATAGGCTTTCTCAATGTCGGCCTTAAGCACAACTCCCTAATGTCCCACTTTAGAGCACTCTTCAACCTCCACATTGCTACCTAAAACTGAGTCTAAGGCCTTTGTTTGCCAAACAAAGACTCTCTAAGATGATGACCTGAATTCTTTCAGCCAACATCTGCAGTCATGTTGTAGAAGAGGGACACTAAACTTATTCACCTAAATAATCTTGGAAACTATGAAACACAGATACATTGTTTAGGTCGACGTATTTGTATCAAATACAATACTCATCAGATACATATCGAATATACATTAGATGTATCAAAAAATTAATAAAATATTTTTTATTTTTTGGATACATATCGTATCCTTATTACATGTATCCGATACTCAGATATGGTTATCCAAGATGAATATACATTGGATATAGAAATGGATATGCATAACAATATGTGTAAATTTTAAATTTTTAGCTTTACCATTTTCTCTCAAATTCAAATACCATGAAGCAAAAAGAAAAATTCAGATGACTTTGAAGATAAGTTGGTGTTTTTTCAGTATTATTGACCATCACATATCAAAAGGGCATAAAATAGGTTAACTACACCATATCTCTCAGCAACAAGTACTTCTAAGCAAATCAATACTTAAATGTTGGTTTTAGTTTCTTAAATTAGATACGTTTATTTTGCAGGTACACTATGATGAGACAAGACAATCTATGGTTGCTTGAAAATAAAAATTTCTTATTTTTGAAATGCCACTAAAGAACTTACTAGAAATTAAAAACTAATAATTACATCATAGTAAAAATATAAAATATATTTTATTGTAGGTGTATTTCGGCCATATTTGTATCCTATTTTTCTAAGTCTTGTCATATCGCACCACTATCCCGTATTCATATCCGTGGTTCTACCCTGGAAAACAGCCATAGCAAATCCGTTTGGCATGCACAACTATAAAATAGATATCTTTTACCAAAAACTCTTTCTACTTATATTTTTTGATAAAATTTACTTAGGGTCTTTTTTAGCTAGTATCTGCATTGCAAAGATATCCAGTCAAAGAAAGGACTCCCAAGTCCCAACACCTAAAAAGTTGCGAAGAAGAATTCAAGAGTGAGAAAGATACAAGACATGGAAAACATGTGTTTCAACATTCAGATCACATTACAGCAGACATTACGGAAATATTACACAAATATTACTGTGCGCATCTAATTTTAAAGGCATGCCTCAAAACTCTTTTCATGTCAAACATGCCTGGCAATCAAGTCCGTGGCCGCTGATGGAGAAACACCTTCTCCTATTCCGACCTAAGGAACAAAAGAGAGAGATGCAGAATGAGGTGGTTGGAATAAGAAACTGTACTCAATACAAGGTAAAGTCAAGGTGTTAAACATTTAAGCTCTTCAAATAACCACGCATGAGTCAATCAGAACAGAAAAAAAGAAAAAATAACGTTTCAAGCCACAAAGGAAAGGCTTGGAAGAAGGGTGACTAACCAAAATCCTTGACAAAACTAGTCCAGGCATAAACCCAGCAACCATAGGAACAAGTGCTGTAGCCAGTGACCAAACCAGAACTCCAAATTCAAGAACTTTTCTGCAGCAAAAAGAAGGAAACCAGTAACCATGATGTATTAAGCACGCTCACGAATTAGTCATAAGAAGATACATTAATATAATGTATGTAAGATGATGGTATGTTTAATCTTGTTATCTTTTTTCTCCTTTTACTAAAGGTTGTTAGTGACTCCTAACAAAGTAAAATAAACCCGTCACATCGCAAGAGAATCAAACTCAAATTTTGCTTGACCCATTAATTTCCTAAATATATTTAGCAGAATTATCATTCAATTCTTAACCAAATAACAATGACGTTCAGGGTATAGTTGTCAAAATAACGTGGATAGCCCAATATATGAACATACTTTTGAAGAAATTCAGCTAGGAAAGATATGAGTTGTTCATTTTTATTTTGAGTAGAAAAAGACCATTACAGATCAGGTCCTGTTAACAAATAGTGGTGGAAGGGGCGGATTAGGTATGGACTTAAGCTTGACAAAATTTGCACAAAGTGGTTGCCTTCTATTAAGACCTCCAACCTTGTGGTTATTAGCCCAAACATTTCCCAGTAGCCCAAACATTTCCCATTAGCCTAAACATTTCCCATTACATTAGGCAATGACTCCTTAGGAAGATTACTAAGAAAAAACAACAAAACCCAAACTCATCTATTCACATATTTCTATTGCTTTTGTAATTGACCCAAATGTAGTTTTGATCAGTTTGCCATTGTTGAACATATACAACAATTTTACATTCATCAACAGATATTGCAACAAAGTGGTTGACTGTGATCAAAACTAACAGTGCGGCCAAAAAATTTGACCATGCGGGGTATTGAATCATTAAGATCAAATGCCTTGCTGGTCATGTGATCTGAACTAATTGTGGAAGTGGACATTGATTGCAAGAGAAATGGATTCCACAGGACCAATCATTTGTGAGCTTCGAACAATAGTTACAATACCCAGCACGGCAGCCCTGGAAATCCAGGCTTTATATTGTATAACTGAAACATTGCAATGGTGAAACTGAAATATGGATGTACGAATTATAGGGTGTGAAACTTATGCATACAGTTAAGTGACACCGATGGAACTTCATTACAAAAGAGAGGTAAGTATGGGAAATATCTGAGTAATGATGACTGATGTGATTTATGAATCTACACAAGTAGCTCGGACACTGAATTAATGACAAGAGAATTCATGCAATGCAAGAGTTGAAAGAGGGAATGATGAAGAAATCCCACAATCAACATGATGACAAAACTGATAGCTCTTGCTAATCAAGGGTATCAATAATGTATGTGCATCATTGATGGTCAAAAATTCAATCCACCTCGTCAAGTTTTCGGCTTAATACTGACAGTTGAGGCACCTGGATTTACCCACACAAAGTTGGTCCAGCTGTGAGAATGACAGCCTGAGAAAGAAGTATGGGCCACCATGATCTTTACGTTGTTTTTCTTTGGAAATCCATATGCCTTCTCATAGCAGACTAAAATCCTAGTCATTTAGTTCCTCCATATTGACTTGATTTGATGATACAATTTGTACTCCTTTAATTTTTTTATTTTTATTTTTTGAAATGTGTACTCCTATAATTGATATATTCACTCTTCACAGAAAAACCAGTGGAGTTCTAATGAGTTGAGTGCCCTTCTAGAAGACCAGGAGTCACAAAATGAACCATATTTTCACCAACAAAATAGAACAGCTAGCTTGGCAAAGGTTCCAAAATCATATCAAGCTCCCGGTAGATATGCCAACAGTTCAAAAAATGGCACCTTATAAGGCCTACCAGCAATCCACATCACAGTAGTTCAAAGTTCAAATTGAATAGTTCACACTTAAACAAATCACAAATAACGTGGTCCTTTAAGAACAAACCTCCCCCCAAATGTCTTAGCAAGCCAACCCCCGGGCAACTGACTGAGTGCATATCCCCAAAAGAAGGACGATTGCACCAATCCAGCAACCGATGAATTCCACCCAAACTGGTGCGACATTGGAATTATTGCAATACTCAAGTTCACCTGCCAAATTGAGCATCTAAAATTATCACTCCATCCAACGGAGGCAAACGTTAAGTATTTATACAAGACACAAATTATACTTTTCCCTTCCAATTTTCCAGTCAAAGCTGGCTCTCTTTGTCCCTTATGCTAATCTAATTCAATTACAAATGCCCAATAATCTACCAAGCAACACTATATATCCTCATTCTCTTTAATCGTCCGTCCAGTATTGTCTCACTAATTTCAAAAGGGTAATTAACACATGATTCATACTCACAGTTCCCAAATGCAAACTGTTCAAGTAAATGACCAAGAAATAACTTGACATGAATCGGTTACCTTATCCATATTACAAATAACAAAGGCCAGAGATGTTGTGAATACAATCTTGTATCTTTCAGGAAGATTCTTCCATGGCGGCCAGTTCCCATCGAAACCCAGTTCGCTATCCCCATTTTCTTCATCCAATTGATCCTTAAAACTCGGTGCTGGGCCACCATTTTGGTCATATTCATCATCGACACGAAGCCCAGAGAGTACTCTAGCAGCTCTCTCCGTTTCTGAAACATTTTCCTTCTCCTTGATGCTGCAAGAAACTCTGAATTTCAAGCTATGTTTAAAGGATAAGACATTCAAATGATGGTGTTTGATATGGGTGCTGAAGTGTGAAATTCGGTGAGCTGATTGTGAAAGGCAACATGCATTGTTGTTTGTTCTAAATATGAATTTTGCCATTCTTTCCCAAATTTGTGGGTAAGCTTGGTTTGATCAAGAAGGAGGAGGAGGAAGAGACGTGAGGGTCTGACTGTCAACTGTCGAAGTTTGTGTTTTTGTGATCAGTAGGAGAGAGACAAAGGAACACAGTTCAAGAGGCCCGAAGGTTGCCACGGTAGAGCTGGTTTGTGGCCCGAATGAAATTCAAAACAAATAGGTCAGAAATCAGAATTCGAATCAAATAGGTCAGAAATCAGAATCCACTAGCAGTTTGGGTGAGAAAATTACACTTTCACCCATTTAATTATGGACTCAATTTTATTTTGTCCCTTAAACTATTGAATTTTTCTCATTTTCCTCAAATACTTGAATTGGTTTTACAATGCCCCATATGCTAAAATCCCATTGTTTCCGGGTCTTTTCTTTTGCTTGCAAAAGTCACCCTACTTGTTATTCTATCACCCGTCGTCTGTCCTTTACTCGATTAGGCTTTGTCACCAAGATAGCTTAGCTACACTACCCTTTTTTTTTTTTACCCTTGATACAGAAGTAAGGTACTTCACTAACCTTAGTGCAAGTAAGGTGATTACAACAAATTAGTGTAATTTGTTCTACCTATCTGTAATTAGTTTAACTAACACTTATTTATTGACACAAGCTACAATCACTCTGGTTGTTACTTGCACTCAAATTCTCCTCAGGTAGATCAAGCATATTGGCTTGGCTTGCAAATGGACGAATAGTTGCTAGATGGGTTGGTTGACAGGTGTTTGTTTAGCAAAGAACCCAAAAAAACTAGTAGAGTTACACCCTAAGCTATTTGATATAATATAGCTGCGAAAACTACTTGTATTAGGGCCCTTTTAATAAGTAAGCTCTTTTAGAGGAAGGAAAATAAGTTGATTTATTTAGAGATTTTGACACCATTAAAAACTCCTTAAATAATTAGTTGTCATTTCATTGATTGAAGTGTCGGTCGACACTGCCTAAGTAATGTTTGGCTCTGTTTGCACACTTCTCTCCATTTGTTGAGTCAGTGAAAAACGACTTAACCTAGCCTTAAGAGAAGAATCAAGTCAGAGAAATCGGTACACAAAATCCAAGTTTTATTGCAGTTTTTAGAGGAAGTGAATTCCAAAACACCAAAATGAGAACTAGACAGGCATCTCATATCCCCCATGTACATATAACTCACTTTTGACACTTTTGTCAGTTCTCCATATGCATGTCCAAAAACCTTGTAGACCATCGACTATTTACTTTTTGCAACTTCATCTCCAGAACGAAACATACCGACTCTATATTCTGAGAAAAATTAGAACTTGATAATGAAGAATGTAACACGTCATCATCTAAATTTAGAAAAACATAGACTCTAGACCTGGAAAGAAGTTGAAGATATGGAAGTGGAAAGGCCACAAACCTCAATTTTGACTTGACTGACAATCCAAAAATGTTGTTCACGCTAACTTACATAAGAGTAAAATGGGTTATAGATAATCAACACTTTAAATAAGTAACAAAGAGTTCACAGTCCAAACGAAATGCCAAAACAAAGATGGTGGAATGAAACTCAAGATATTATAATTTTATCCCTTGGCTAACCCACAAGCTAGACTCAAAACAGTAGCTTTATACCAATGATTGTGATTTTTGGATACCCGGTTCATCCTACGCGATTACATCTAGGTCAATCCTTTTGCCCAACAAACAAAAAACTTAGGATTTGTTTGATCTGAAATTCATTTTGGAATGTTGTTCTCCACAGCTAATGTACGAACAACCTAAACCAAAATTACATCAACAATCGAATTCGTTATTTGAAGTCCCGATCCTAGTGACTATTCTAAAAAGAGGAATTCTTCTTTTGAGCTTGACCAAACACACCAACGGGAGCTTCAATCACAATCATCAAAACTAGAATAGGCATATTGGTCTATATGAATCCCTTTGTGTAGAAGTTATGAAGCTCGTACTCATCTCTCTTTCACCTTGTATTTGGTGATGAACCGTATAAAAATTAATCGTTAACACGTTAATTATGTTGTTGATTATTATTCAATGTTATCAAGTGTTATTTTTAAAATTTTCAAATAAATAAATGAATCTCAAAAATAAATAAATGGATCTCAAAAGTAAATTCTTTATGTGAAAACGAGCAAATGACTATTAAAAATGTCATATTAAAAATCTAAAAGTGTCCAAATTAAATAATATATGAAAAAATATATATGTTACATGTGTGTGTGTGTGTGTGTGTGTGTATATATATATATATATATATATAAAGATTATGCCATGTGTCTTGCAAGGAGACATACAAATATAAAAAAAAAAGTAATGTTGTTCAGACCTAAAAATTTAACCTCATTTGTTGACCAAATGATGTAGTTTTATTGGAACCATTAGATGAAGAGTAAATTCCAATATTTAATGGGACTCACAGTTAATTCAAATGTCATAATGAATCAGGTCAGTAAATAAAATCAAATTTTTAAGTTCAAATAATATTATTCAATAAAGAAAACACAATGAAAGTGAACATGTGTTGTAGGTGCTGTTATGCATAAATCACCATGCTTATATTGGGTGATATGAGATACTTGGAGCCCAAGGCTCCCAAGTCTATAAATTGAAGACAAGATCAAGACTATAGAAATGAGGAATGGAGAGAGGGAGACAAAAGAAAAAAAGAAGGGAAAAGAAAAAAAGAAAAAAGAGAAAGAAAGAAGGAAGGAAAAAAAAAATGAGATTTTGGGTTCAAAATTAGATAGTAATTTTAGTCTTGAATCCTATGAAATTCGTGTCAATTGCAATTAAATAGGTGGTTATCAAATTCTCAGTATCAATTGTTGATTTGAGCTACAGGGTAGTATATAATATATTTTTGTCTTCAAATCTCTTTGCAAAAAGTGTTTTTTTGATTATCTTAAATTTGTATTCCTGTTGGATATTTTTTATCTGTATGAGATTTTGGAATTTTTGTTGATCTGACTTGTATTTTGGGTTAAATATTTTGAGCTTGATTGGTACATGTACGAAGTGTACTTGGACCATAGTTTGATAAATATGATTGTGATCCTACGGGGTGCAATTGTTTTGTTTGATTGTGGCCTTGCAAGGTATGGTTGTTCGATATTAGTATGAATTTATATGTGCAAGTGTCACTTGTCATATCACCGAGATGAACTATATATGAGCCTTTATTTGATAACACTTGTGTTATGCGATATGTCTAATTTGATTGATAATTTCATTGTTCATATTTTCTACGATCTGAATTATTTAGTATTTGATCATTCATATCTTTGTTTATCGGTGATCATATTGTTTTATGTCATATTGTATACTTCCTCTCTTTTAATATTTTTCAGGATGATATGAAAAGAGAGGATCGGAGTTGATATTTGAGAAATCGGAGATGGACAAATCTTGATATAATTTTTGTAAAACTGAAATTCAAATTTGTGATTATAATTTTTATTAAGGTAATTAAAGCTTTGGTCCTATATTTGGAGTAAATATTGAATGAAACAGTGATATTATGTCACCATTGATGATATGATATCACTAATTAATAATAAAATTCCAAATAGGTATGGTGAATTCCACTTGGAATAGCATGACAAAAGGATTGTAAGAGTTATTTACTTATATGACAGGTTAGTTATTAATTTTTATAGGTCCAGTTATTTATTTGTTTTAGTATTCTTTGTTGGTAATATCATATCACTTTGTCACGTGATATCACCTTTGTAATGAATATTTTCCCCTACATTTGGAGATCATATTAATGATTTATTGTGATCGATATTAATTAATTAACGCATCCAAAAAATTAGAGTGTTACATATTTTGAATAGGCAACACGCACAAGCAAACAAAGGAACAATGGGAATGGTCACTTAACGTTTTTTAATTTGAATAGGAAAAGTCGTAGTCTTTGAAACCATATTTTGTCGGATTGCCTTAAATATTTTAAAAAGCTTCCTGCCCCTCCTAAAAGGCAACAACTAGAAGCTAGTCTAGAATTTGAAACTCTAGCTATAACTTCTATTTCCTATATTTGAAATACGACCCCTCGTTCGTTCGTCTACTCTGATTGATGAACGGAAAGTTACCCCATAAAAAGCCTCCCAAACTACGAGACTATTGCAAAAAAATTCCTTTATGGCAGATTTAGGTCTCCTATTTCACTTTTACCTGTCATTGGGACTCTAATCCACTTTCATTTAATGATAGGCGAAAAAGGATAACTAGAAAGGTATAAAAGGGGTTTGCACCCATTACGGGGTTCTTTTATGGATTGGTTTTTGCCTATTCTTGGAGTTAGCGAGATTAGATGTTAGAGAAACCAATGCTGTTAGCTTAAACATATTTTCGCATGTGAGTGATATCGAAGCGATCCAACTTCAGAAAATCTTCCGTTTTTTGCTTCACTTGAGCAATTGACGGAGTAGTCATAGAGGAAGATAAAGTCAAACCATGATTTGGTTGGCTTGCCTTGAGGGCTTTTATCCGTTGTCTCGATTTTTTCTTTCAATGTAAGTTAACTAATCTAAAATGATGAGTATCAGGTTAAGGATTCCAATTAAACGCCAGGTTATGATTCCTCAGTTCAACTAATTCAACCTTAACGAGAAATTAAGGAGAGGTCATGGTCCGAAAATATGACCGTTCTGTTTGGTATACCAAGTTTTCTTGAGTCCATGATGGGTGTCCTGTATAAGTATGCTGCATGGCTGAAAATTTTGAATCATCTCAGAACAACTGATTCATTTTGAAGTCATCCGTTAAATAAAAGGCTCTAAAGATTCCTCTTTGGTTCAATGATGCTTCATTTGACAGCTTCCTGTCTTTTTTACAAGTTATTGTTGGTTCATCAAACCACACTCACCAGCATATAAAGGTCATTGGCATCGTCTCTTGCTCCAAAAACAAGCCTGGCATAGCCTAGACCGAAAACATATTTTTGCGCACATGAGAGGTTGACGGAAGCAGGCTGCCTATTTGACTCTGCTATATCGTACCAATCAATAGCTGAATAGCTTGACCAAAGTCCGTCAATCGCATGTACATCTACTCGCCATCTATGATTCTTGAAAGATTATGGGCACGA